ATATTTAAGGTTTCTGTGGAAATTCTTGCATTTTAAAAATTCAGAAGGACTTCTGTTTCTTACCTACATATGTGGACTCTCCTTGCAACAGCCCTATATTGTGAAATAGACTATTTCTCAGTGTGTTAGTTACGTGAAAGACAGAGCCCAGTAGGCATGATTTCTCCCTATTAAAGGTGTTAGATGGAAAGGCTTTGTTCTTTTCTAACAAAAACTTCTAATGAAACATTCAAAGTTAATTGGAAAACAGCACCTAAATGATATTTCATTTCATTTCTCTATCAATTTACTTCTGTCTCATTCTCACAAGTATTTGGGAAGAGCTGACATTTAATTTTGTTGATCTAGGTAATCGAAGAGCTTTAAAGCTTAAAACAGTATCATTAACAATCAATGGGCATAATTCCAATTCCAATGAATATTTTAGAGCACAGATACTATTTTCATGGACTCTTAAAATACTTAGCACATTGCATTCATTATGCTGCAGTTGTTTATGGAAAACAGTTTTTCCTAGAGTGATCTTTATCTCTTAACAGAAACTCTACCGAATGGGTTATGAGGAGCTGAAGAAAAAAGGTTATGATCTTCCACTTGATGCCATACCCATCAAAGCAGCCAAAGCATCCCGAGAAATTGCCAGTGAAGTAAGACTTTATCCCCTGTTTATATCAATTTGATTGCAATGTGTCACTTCAAAGCAGTCTCAATTTAAAAATGAACAAAATCTTCCCAGGAGTAACAAATTAAAACGGAGTAAAATGATCCCAGGGATGCAGTGTGAGATGAGGATAAGCTCAAGGATGCATTTATTATGTATGGAATTTGTAGCTGGATTTAGCCTTTAATCTTTCCTATCAAAAAAACTTGTTATCTATGACTCTCTAGGCTTAGGGGAACATCTGGAGTTAATGTACTTTGTAATTTGCCACTTATGGCAACATAAATTAATCTTGAAAGGAATGAGACATAGTTTTTTTCCTTTAGTACAAGTACAAGGAAGGTTTTCGCAAGCAGCTTGGCCACCACATTGGAGCCCGGGACATCAAAGATGACCCCAAGATGATGTGGTCCATGCATGTGGCCAAGATCCAGAGTGACAGGGAGTACAAGAAGGACTTTGAGAAGTGGAAGACCAAGTTCAGCAGCCCAGTGGACATGCTGGGGGTGGTCCTGGCCAAGCAGTGCCAGACCTTAGTCAGTGATGTGGACTATAAGAACTACCTGCACGAGTGGACGTGCCTGCCCGACCAGAACGACGTCATCCACGCTCGGCGGGCCTACGACCTCCAGAGTGACGTGAGTCTGAGATTTTTCTTTGACCAACAAAAACACCATGTCTGCTTTCCTGAATATCAAAGTTCCCCCAAAGTGAGGGGAGTTGAGTTCATACATCTGAGTTGTATTTCCCTAGACTAAAGCCCATGCTCTATCTCGTCACTCAAACATCTGGAAGCACCATTATTCCACAAAGAAAATGCCAGAAAAATCCCCTATTGCTTTGGTGGAAGCCTCTAGATTGTTGACCCAGGAGAGTTAGGTTGTTCTCTTCATGTTGATATTTAAAATGTTTTTCAAAATATGCTTCCAATCTGAATATTTTGTTGATTCACAAACTTAAAAAATTTCCCAAGAATTCAAGCATTAACACATATATAGTATAGTATAATATAAAATATATGGTATAATATAATATAATATATTATGTAATATAAAGCTATATTTCTTTAGAGATATGTCATTATGTTTATGTTTAATGGTCTGTCACTTACAATTTCAGAATTTGTACAAGGCCGACCTTCAGTGGCTCAAGGGCATTGGCTGGCTACCTAGTGGCTCTCTTGAGGATGAGAAGAACAAGAGAGCAACCCAGATTTTGAGTGACCATGTTTACCGTCAGCACCCAGATAAATTCAAGTTTTCCAGCCTTATGGACTCCATCCCGATGGTTTTGGCAAAAAATAATGCTATTACCATGAACCATGTAAGTCCTTTCTTTATTTGAGGAGGGTATTAATTTTTGTGTGTGTGAAAACACTGAAATCTGTTTCTAGAAAAGAAAAATCATATTCAATTCTTCTGCTTGGTATTAAAGTGGTTTTTAAGTAAGTGTGCTTCTTACTGACATGAGACATCTAGACCTGAAGGTGTCACACAGCAAATGTTCTTTATTTTCCTTAAGAACCAGATTATTTTTATTTACTACTGATTATTATTTATTATTGCTAGTCACATCTTTTTTATTTATTTTAGCGCCTCTATACAGAAGCTTGGGATAAAGATAAAACTACTGTCCACATTATGCCAGATACCCCTGAAGTTTTACTGGCTAAACAAAACAAAATAAATTACAGTGAGGTAAGCAATATATTCATGATGCATGATATATTTTCCTTACACAGCACTTTATAAATCAGACTTATGGTGATTTATGTCTATTTCAGAAACTATATAAACTTGGTCTAGAAGAAGCCAGGAATAAAGGCTGTGATATGCGCTTAGATGCCATTCCCATCAGAGCTGCCAAGGCCTCCAGAGATATTGCAAGCGAAGTAAGTGAACCTGAAAGCTTCTTTGCCTTAGCTTTGGCTCAAAGACTACTTTCTCTCTCCTGGTTTTTGTAAAACAAGTAAGCTATGAGGTGAAAACTCTTGCTAACCATTTTTACTATGTCAATAGTTTAAAATAATGGTCATGAAATCCTCAACACAAAGAATTCCAGCTATGATTGCATCTGTAGCAACATGTATTTAAAAATATCACGCATTTCCTACTGAACAAAAAAGCACTGGATTCTTGACTATGGTTCACACGTCCTTTTCGCTTTCCACGTGATGTGTTCTTATGTACAGACTCGCCGCAGGATTCCTCCTAAACCTGCCCATGCGCTATGAACCCATAAACCTACAAAGGCTGAATGAATGGGGCACTTTTCTATTCAAGGTCCACCCATCCACATGGACCATATGTTTGCCTCTGCATCCAGTCATTGGCTGCAGATATTTATTTTCTTTAAATGATGGGTTTTCTCACATTCCAAGGAACTTTTATCCTTCTTTTTCTTCAGTCTATGAAGTAAAAAATGTTTTTCCTTTATTTCTAAAATATGGGAAGTAATCATCATAACTTAAAAATAAATGTTCAATAATCACAAGAAGGTTAAAAGTATTAATATATACCAATATAATGGAAATACCTACTGACATTAAAATTCATGTTTCGGAAGAATATTTAATGATACAAAAAATGCTTATATAATAACTGAAAAAAGCTGGCACAAACCCATATACAGTATGACTGGCTCTTTAATTTTATTCTCTCCCTCTGTCTCTGTCTTGGTATCTCTCTGTCTTTCTCTCTAACAAACACATCCCCCCACACACACAAACAAAAACAGTTTTATCAGTGTTTATCACTAAATGGCAAAATAATGTCTTAATTTTTATTTTCCTTTTTTGTGTACATATATATGCTTTATTTTATAAATGGCTTCTAAGATACATATATTATTCAGATTCAGGGGAAAAATCATCATATTTTTAATGAATAAGAAAATTTGGGCCTAGTAATTGCTTCTCACTATAAGTTAAAATACATGACCATCAATCTTTTTTTCTTCTAGTTCAAGTACAAAGAAGGCTATCGTAAGCAGCTCGGCCACCACATTGGTGCCCGAGCGATACATGACGACCCTAAGATGATGTGGTCCATGCATGTGGCCAAGATCCAGAGTGACAGGGAGTACAAGAAGGACTTTGAGAAGTGGAAGACCAAGTTCAGCAGCCCAGTGGACATGCTGGGGGTGGTCCTGGCCAAGCAGTGCCAGACCTTAGTCAGTGATGTGGACTATAAGAACTACCTGCACGAGTGGACGTGCCTGCCCGACCAGAACGACGTCATCCACGCTCGGCGGGCCTACGACCTCCAGAGCGACGTGAGTACCTGAGGATCATAATGACATGTAAAGGTGGGAAACCTGTGAATTAACACCCCTTGGAGGAGGTGCAATAGGTGGCATCAGCCCCTTCAAGGGGGAGATAGCATTTCTTCTTTCCTTGTGAATGTTGATTGTTTAACACTCCAGACCAAAAAGGAATATTGTCTGGTACTCTGCCTGTCCACCAAACTACATTTTCAATAGTGCTCCCACTTTATTTCATATACTTTAGATGACAGTGTTTTCCCAATGCTGGGATAAATCATTAATTGATTTTTTGTGTCAACAGAACATGTACAAGTCTGATCTCCAGTGGCTGAAGGGCATCGGCTGGGTTCCCATTGGCTCTTTGGATGTGGAAAAATGCAAAAGGGCAACTGAAATTCTGAGTGATAAAATCTACCGCCAGCCTCCAGACAAGTTCAAATTTACCAGTGTAACTGATTCTCTGGAGCAAGTGTTGGCCAAGAATAATGCCATCAACATGAACAAGGTGAGGCTTCATTCAGAGAACCAAGGGTTCGCTGAATCAGAGAAAAAGAAGCATAATCAAAGAAAGAAAAATAGAGCATTGAGCATCAAAAGATATCTCTATCTATCTATCATCTCTCTTTCTCTCTACCTATCTTATCTGTCTGTCTATTTACCTGCTATGTGTGTCATTTATACTTCAATATTTATTTTAGTAATTGTTTTATGGCTTTGATAAAATGGCATATTTTTATGGAAAATCATCTTTACTTAAAAGATATTCTCAGTTTCCTTTTGTTAACATATATTTCAGTTTATCTGAGGGCACTCATAAGTATCTGTTCTACTATGAACTGATTACTTGAAGATGTGTCTAAAATACATAATGTGTATAAATTGCATAGCCTTTGTTTTTTTTTGTTTCTAACATTCTTGTGGCCCTGAAATTCCTATTAATTGTACACTGATTTTTTTTTCCTGATGACATTATGTATTTTCTTTGATAGCATTTATACACGGAAGCCTGGGACAAAGACAAGACCCAGATCCACATCATGCCAGACACACCAGAAATTATGTTAGCAAGAATGAACAAAATCAACTACAGTGAGGTAGGAGCAAATACTGATCCTGTGATGTTTGCATGCTGTTTCTTATTTCAATTAGTCTATTCCCTGGTGATGTAATACTGAATGACAACTTTATAAAGAATCTCTTTTTGCTCCAGATGAATACCAACTCCTACACCTCTCAATTACCATCCTAAACATAAAACTTGAAGTAATACAAATTATCATTTAGGAACTGCAAATTATGAAAACTAATGATTTAAACAGTAACCATAAAATCAATTAGACCTTTTTCTTTTATTAACTTTTTAAGTTAGGAAATTAGCAATAAACTGAATGTACATTTATCTCCTCCTTGTGCTATGTAGCTGTGCTAAACTTATTTTCCTAATTTTAGTTCGGGCTCAAAATTTAAGATTTTTAGTGTATAAGATTAAGTCAAGGACTAAAATCACAGTATTATCAACGCTAAAAGAAAGAGACAGAGAGGCAGAAACAGAGAATCCATCGGTGTTTCTATTAAGCAAGCCCATTTCCTTTTTACTCTCTGTGAGCAAAAGGCCATATGCCCCCATCTCAGAACCACAGATGTTTGGCTGAAAGAATCCTCACCCAATAGGCTGTCGTCTTGCCTTTGCTTAAGTGTTCTTGGTGACAAGGAACTTGTCTCTTAAATCAACCATTTTATTCGGGAAAATTCCATTAGAGGGTTCCTCTGATGTATTGAGTGGAAGATTTCTCTGTGCAGACCCACACAGTCCTCTGAGGCTGTGCAGCGACAATCTGTGCCACCTCCATGGAGATGGAGACCACTGCTAGGCAGCAGGGAGGCCGCCTCACCCCAGGTTCTCCTTCTAACCCACACACCCCAGGTTCCTGGGCATTCCTCACATGACACTCCTGCCACAATGTGACTCTCAGAACTGACAAAATGCAGCATGCAAGGAATAACAGTATAGAATACAGTTGGCATGATATGTCTCCTGGACTAATTTCTGCCCCTGCTGTGCCTCAGGGCACATTGTCAGCTATGTTCCTGCTGGTGCACATGGAATTCGGGATCAGTGGAGACCCTAAGACATTTTCCACAGACTTAAGCCAGGTTTCCTTTATCCTGCATTTATATGTTTGGCAATTTGAATTTCATTTCAAAGGATGACATTTACCTCTCTGTAATTTCTTCTTATGTTGAGCCTGTTGGTTTAAGCCTTTGGAGATTTTTGTGGATCTAAGATCCTGTCAAATGACATTTTAAATATTTTTCCCAGCTTTGTGCTACCAGCAAGGAGAATATTGTTTCTTGGACAGCTTCAATCAGCAGTATGTTACTCTTCTGCAGAATATAACTTGGAGAATTTAGATAGATTAGCCACCATCTTAAGTCATTTTATTTTAGGGGATACAAACTATAATTTTAGTGCTTATATAAGTGGCTCCTAATTGTCACCAAAAACTACTCTCAAATCAAAAAAGAGTGAATTTTTAGCTAAACCTAAATAGAGCTCCCATATGGTTATGGGAAAGCAAAGAGCCCCTGTAACTAGTCACTCAGCATTTCTGGAATTCTTGACTCTGTCTTCGTGGCAAAAGCTCAGAGACTCAGCAGTGCTGCTGTTGGTACAGAGGCCCGTGGAGAAGGCCCTGAGCTGAGTGCCTAGCCTGCCTGACCTGCTTTCTCTTCTTTTCCCACTCCTCTTAGCTTAGTTCAGTTCTGTTGTGTTTTATTCATATTTAGGACAGTAAGAGAAAATGCAAATTTGATGATGTCACTCTCCTCTTAGATGACTGCGACCTCCTCTTTCCTAGAGAAATAAGTGCAAACTTAGCAGCAAGCCTTCACAGTCTGATTCCAGATTCTGTTCAGTCCTCTCCTGCCACTTCCCCTGGCACTGTGCTCCTTTCCTTTGACTCCATGGCACTTTCACTCCCAATGCGTGGATTTGTGCACCCGCTTCTGCCCTTGACTGCCTTCTCAGTCTATTGAAACCATGCTCATCACTCAAGGTCCAAAGCAAGGGTCACTTCCTCTGCAGGAACTTTCCTGATTCTCAGTTCAGAACCAATTCCTCCTTCCTGGAACTCTGTTAATAATATGGTTAAATCACCTCTCGTGGCTTGCCTTTTTGGCAACTTGTTCTATCGACCATCATTTTTTCCATGAATTCTCCCAAAAACCTTGAAGACAGGAGAGGTCGCATTCTCATCGTTAATTCCCAAGTACCCAGCACAGTCATGGCACAGAGCTGGTGCAGAATAAATAAATGCAGATCGAATTCATTTCCATGATCAACAGTTAATTAAGTTGTTTCCCCCCCACCTACATTTTGTCCCCTTAGGCCCATGAGTTTCAGCTTAATTTTTCTAGATTAGCCAAAACAGATTCATTGTTGTAACTAAAAGTTTTGAAACAATGTATAATATCTATGCAGTTGACACTTGAACAACATGAGGGTTTGGGTTGCTGACCCCCATGCAGTCAAAAATCCACATTTAAGTTTTGACTCCCACAAAATATAACTACAAATAGCCTACTATTGATTTTGTGATAGTAAATAATAAGGTAGGCTAGTATCTACATATATGTTATGCATTCATGACATACTTAACTTTTTCTTAGTTTTTTTGCTATTTCTAGGCTATGTGGTTTGTCTGTGAATTTTTTCAAATTGTTGCAAATCTCCAAAAAATTTTCCATTGTACTTACTGAAAAAATCTGGACCCACACAGTTCAGACCCATGTTGTTCATGGATCAACCGTATATACATAACGCAACATAAGTTTTAAAATAAAAAACTAAGGTGCAGTGTTCTATATAAGTATCATTTTTAAGTCTTAACTTTGGCAGAGAATGCAGAATCCTTAGAACTCTCAAAAGTGAGATGATTATAGGCATCACATATGTAGAACTTAGTGAATTATTTCAGGTCGCTGTCAGGTTTTGGATATGAATATCAACATCTAACTAATTTTTTGGCCCAAATTTAGACTCTGTATAAACTTGCCAACGAAGAAGCAAAGAAGAAAGGCTATGACTTGCGAAGCGATGCCATCCCAATCGTGGCAGCCAAGGCCTCCAGGGACATCGCCAGTGATGTGAGTTGTCAATTATTCTCAGAAGACATGATTAGTCTGAAGTGATACTTTCACTGAACTAAATCTTTAAAAGGAACTTTCCAGACTCTTCAGAAATACATCCTGATGTGTCTGTGGGGGATTCTTCAAAAACCTAGTTTTGAGGGAAATGAAAAATTTGATGTTCATAAAAAGGATCTGTTTTTAGAACACAGTATCTTTAGTGAAAACTGACCCACCAAGAATAGACAAAGACCCGTTCATGTGGAAATAAAGTGCTGCTGCACACTTAGAGATGCATATATAAAAACTGTCATGGTGCTTACGCAAAGTGTCACTCATGAACTTAAGTTCTCCCAGGGCCTGGCTTTGTATAGCATTTTAATATACAATATTCAAAAAATCCATATGATGCTTGCCATTATGATTCACCCTCGTAAGATTATAAAAAGAAGGCACTGATGGGTACCAGAGGGGGCTGCTAGCCCAAACCTGCACCCTTAATGGTTGTCCTGCCTGTGCACCTCGTACCTCCCAGAATAAAGCCATCATTTTTTCCTGGTGCCTTGGGACTCTTGAGGAATATACCACTGCTCTAAAAATCAAGGCCTACTATTCAGGAATATGGTAATACACTGCCCTTTATATTGAAAGATCATGTTAGTGACTCAGTTTATATATGTTGGACACTCCCCACAAATGGATTTATGCCAATAATAATAATTAACAAAGTAATAACCAGGAAGTATTGAGAACTCTGTGCTAAGAACTTTACATGCAATATCTTACTTACACTTCATAATTACCTATGATATAAGAGTCATCATTAATCCTGGTCTGGGGATTGCCTAATCAACTCTTCTAAAGTCAAACTCTTAGTGGAAGGTAGAGATGAAGCTCCAGGTAACCTCATTCCTTCCCACTGAACCACACTGCCTCCTGCTGATTCATCTGTACTCTCTCACTTCATTGTCTTTGACACTAGAAGCATGTATGTTGGATAAGTCGCTCAAATTCCAGGATGATGTCTTTGGATGTGCAATAATAAAAACCTCATTGGCCCATGTGGGACGAATCCATGACTTTATTAGAAGCATGCTTTAACCAGTAGGGCTGCTGTATCAGCGTCACTCATATAATCTGTTTTCAAAATGATGCCCCAACTTTGCCACCACCACTGAACCCTGAATCCATTATGAAATCATTCTCCTCTGTTGCTGCAGCAGGGAATCCTTGACCTAGAGTACCTCATTCCTGCAGGAACCAGATGCTCATTCTACTACTTATTAAACATGCCATGTCACCAAGTGCATCTCTTCCCTGACATACTTCTAGGACCTAAAATCCATTTCTCTAAATTCTGTGATGCAAATTGTCCCTCCCCACTATGTGCACTTCCTGCCTTCAGATCTAATCCTTAGTACCAGGCCACAGGTGATTAGGATATATGTGACAATGATATGGATTCCATCTCTTTTATCACCTCTGTAGTTTCTAAGATAATGCTTGAAATGCTGGCTAGAGTTAGTGCTTATTAGCAAAAATCAGCTTACAACTGTGATGTAAGCAAGATGATTTTCTGCAGACTTGTGACCCCTAAGGCTTCCAATAAAAACCCAATTTGTACATTTTCATCTCAGTACAAATACAAAGATGGGTACCGCAAGCAGCTTGGCCATCACATTGGAGCCCGGGACATTAGTGACGACCCCAAGATGATGTGGTCCATACACGCGGCCAAGATCCAGAGTGACAGGGAGTACAAGAAGGACTTTGAAAAGTGGAAGACCAAGTTCAGCAGCCCAGTGGACATGCTGGGGGTGGTCCAGGCCAAGAAGTGCCAGACCTTAGTCAGTGATGTGGACTATAAGAACTACCTGCACGAGTGGACGTGCCTGCCCGACCAGAACGACGTCATCCACGCTCGGCAGGCCTACGACCTCCAGAG